GGGAAAGAGTCCCCAGGACCGGGAGGCCACCCTGGTGCTGGTGGGTAAGTGGGCAGAGCGTCCACCCCTCACCCCTTCATGTCCCCTGCTCCTGCCTCCTGCCCTGGCCCAGCCTGCCTCTCTCTAAGCCTGGACCCCAGCAGCGCGCCCCCCTCGGCCTGGCCCGACCACCTCACTTCGCCTGTCCCCAACAGGCTGTGCCAGGTTCCTGGAGCGGCCAGTGCTGGGCTTTGTGCGACTAAAGGAGCCTATGGAGACGGAGCAGAAGCCACGGGAGCCAGAGGGGCCGGCAGTCCCTGTGCGTTTCCTCATTGTGTTGCTGGGACCTGAGGCCCCCAACATCGACTACACCCAGCTGGGCCGGGCTGCTGCCACCCTCATGTCAGAGAGGGTGAGGAGGGGCTGGCGAGGGCTGGGGGAGCCCAGGGGGCTGGCTGGCAGCTGAGGCCTCGTCCCCGGCCCCGGTTACTTTAACTTCACTAGTCTGGCCCATTCAGTCTGATCTAGCTGCTTCCGTCCTGTCTGGCCAGGGGGAGTCCAGGCCCGTGTAGTCTGGCCTAGCCCTGCCTGATCAGGCCTGGTCTAGTCTGGCCCACTCTGCCCTGGTTCTGTCTGGTTAGGTCTGGCCTGGTCTGGCCTGATCTGCTCTCGTTCCACCTGGTCTGCTATAAGCCACCTGGTTCGCTTTAGTTCTTTCTGCTTTCCCGACTCAGGGCCCTGTCTGCCTCCCCAAAGCCCTTTCAGAGTAGAAGGTGGAAGGCCAGGGGGGAAGGAAAGGCAGTTCCCAGCAAGCAGGGGCTGGGGGAGAGGGGCCCCAGAGGCTCTTGCTGTGGCCTCTTGGATCCTTTTGTTGAGCAGGTCCTTGTGGCTCTGACCTTCCTTCCTGCTCCCAGGTGTTCCGCACTGATGCATACTTGGCCCAGAACAAGGAGATGCTGGTGCATTCCCTAGAGGGCTTCCTAGACTGCAGTCTGGTGTTGCCTCCCACGGACGCGCCCTCTGAAGATGCCCTGCTCAGTCTGGTGCCCGTGCAGAAAGAGCTGCTGAAAAGACGCTACCTGCCCAGCTCTGCCAAGCCAGAGCCCAGCTTCCTCAAGGGCTTAGGTACCTGCCCTGCCCAGCCCTAGGCCTGCTGAGCCCCCAGACCTTCAGACAGCCCGGCACAGCCCTGTGAGCCCCTACCTCCCCTCTTCCCATGAAATCTCCCATGTCCCCTCTCCCTGTCCTCATGCCTCCCAGCCTCCTGGACCACCCCATTCCCATCAGACAATCCCCTTCTCGATTCCCTTCTCCCCACACTTCCCCCTTCCACCCCCCGTGACTGTGGTCCTGCCCTTCACTACAGATTTGAATGGGGGTCTAGAGGACACCCAGGATGACCCTCTGCAGCGGACAGGCAGGCTCTTCGGGGGACTGGTACGTGACATCCGGCGCCGCTACCCCCGCTACTTGAGTGACATCACAGACGCATTGAACCCCCAGGTCCTGTCTGCCATCATCTTCATCTACTTTGCCGCCCTGTCACCCGCCATCACCTTCGGTGGCCTCCTGGGTCAGTGCCTCTGTGTGTCCCACTAACCCTCACCTCCAGCCCTCTGGCCTCGGTATCAGCCATGACTTTGCCCCGATCTGACACTCTGGACCCCTACGTCATCTTGTCCATGAAATGCTCTACCGGCCTCTGGAAATGATCTTGACCTTGACCGCACTGTCACTTCCATCCACAGGAGAAAAGACCCATAACATGATGGGTGTGTCGGAACTGCTCATCTCCACCGCGGCACAGGGCATCCTATTCTCCGTGCTGGGGGCTCAGCCCCTGCTCATGGTGGGCTTCTCAGGACCCCTGCTCGTGTTTGAGGAAGCCTTCTTCTCGGTAGATCTGTTCTGGCCCCACTGTCACCCTGTAACTGGCCCCTGGCCCAACCTGCTTCATGCACGGGGCCTGGGCCCATTTCTCTGACCCCAGCTCCCTCTGGCCACCCTACAGTTCTGCAAGAGTAACGGCCTGGAGTACATCGTGGGCCGTGTGTGGATTGGCTTCTGGCTCATCCTGATGGTGGTGCTGGTGGTGGCCTTCGAGGGCAGCTTCCTGGTCCGCTTCATCTCCCGCTACACCCAGGAGATTTTCTCCTTCCTCATCTCCCTCATCTTCATCTATGAGACCTTCTCCAAGCTGGTCACGGTGAGGGCCATGGGAGTGTTAAGAGGCACACGTGTGTGCATGTGTGTGTGTGTGTGACTGTGCACAAGCTGTGTGACTGTGGGTGTCATTGCACATGTGTCTGTACGGCATTTATGTGGCCGTGTTTTCACGGTATGTGACTGTGACCACATACATGTTGATGCCTGCTGTCTGTGGGCCGGTATTCTCACCATGGCTGTGCGGAGTGACGGTGCATGAGAGCTTCCCTCTGCCTGCACAGGCCCATGTGTATAACCACATGCAGTAACCAGTGGGCACATGTGAGACTGAACGTGGGAAACTGCAGGCATGGTGGGGTAGCAGGGGTCCTGGAGAATCAATCTGAAGTCCCCCACCCCTTCTCCTGCAGCTGCCCTTAGGAACTGCAGGGCCTGCCGAGGGTGTGCCCTGCCTCCTCAGCTCTGTCACCTTAAACTATGCCTACCTCTGTGTCTGCATTTTACGTGGAGGAAGGGTGGATAATGTACATCTACCCCCGATTCTGTTGGTCGGTGGGTCTTTCTCTGGTTTCCAAGTGTCTGGAGCCTAAGTCTTTTTAGGAACCTCCTTGGCACTTGTTTCCTGCCCTCCAGCCTTCTCACGGCTCCCAGGCTCTGGATGCTCGTGCGTGCGCGCGCGCGCGCACACACACACACACACATTCATTTCCTCCATGGCCTGCCCCGCCCAAGCCTAGCCTGGTCCTCAGTCCTGAAAACCAAGCTGTGGAATCCCATTGCCTCTCTGTTACTATGTCAGTTGAGGAAGAAGATAGGTAGATGGATGATGCATGGATGATGCGTAGACAGATGGATGGATGAATGGATGGCTAATGGATGGATGAATGGATGATGAGTAGAGAGAGAGATGCTGAACAGAGAGATGGATGATGGATGGGTGGACGATGGATAGATAGATGATACATGATGCATGTATCATGATGGCTGGAGGATGCATGGATGGGAGGAAAGAGGATGCCTTGGTTTTCTGCTGCAGATCTTCCAGGACCACCCACTGCTGGAGAACTATGACCACAATGTGACAAGAATACCCAAACCTCAGGCCCCCCTGCCCAACACAGCCCTCCTGTCTCTTGTGCTCATGGCTGGCACCTTCTTGTTCGCCATGATGCTGCGCAAGTTCAGGAACAGCTCCTACTTCCCTGGCAAGGTCAGCACAGCCCCCCACCTGTCCTCGCCTACACTGCCCTACCCCAGTCTACAGCACTCCCCTCAGCTTTCCCAGTGCCATTAGCTCCCCTTCGTCCCCTAGATTCCCATTTCCGATTCCGAGCCTCCCTCCCGCCTCATCACGCAGGATTTTACTCTTGAGACAAGCGCCATCTCCCTTTCTCGGCACGTCCAGGCTGAGAACCCAGTGGGGAACCAAGGACAGTTCTTGGAAGGGAGTGGATAAGCTGTGGGGCCGGGGGTGGGGCTGGGCCAGGTGAACAAGAAAGGAGGCAGGTATGTTGAGAAGCAGGACAGGGCATTAGATGTTCCCCCTGGGGAGAGTGGGACCCCCCCGGTGAAGACGGGGCAGGAGTGGGGGCAAGTGGCAGGTGAGAGGTGGGAAGCAACTGGGCACTGACCATTGGTCCCTTCACCTGCCCTCAGCTGCGACGAGTCATTGGGGACTTTGGGGTTCCCATCTCTATCCTGATCATGGTCATGGTGGATGCCCTCATCCAGGACACCTACACCCAGGTGACCCTCTCCCCCACGCCTGTTTCATTCCCCCAGCCTGCACCCTCCCCCAAACTGCCTTCCCAAGCCTGAAGCCGGTTAGAACTGCCCCTTCCCCAGTCCTGTCTCTCCAAGCAGCCCCGTGTTCTTCCCACAGCCCTTCAGGACGCCTCTGGCTGAAGAAGGGGCCTGGGTCAGTTTGCCCCCTTTTACTCCTTAATCCAGGGCAGTAGGAAAGAATCCGCTTTGAAGCCGGGTTGATCTGAGTATGAATCTCAGTTTTGCTACCAAATAGCCGTGCAATGCAGAGCCAGCTACATAACTTCCCTGATCCTGTTTCCTCATCTATAAAGTAGGGAATGAGAAAATGTATGTAAAGGGCTTAGTGCAGTGACTGAGTACAAAGTAAATGCTCAATATAAGTAAGTTCCCAAGGGCCCAGGACCCTGGTTCTCCCTGTCCCCACCCTTCCCCATCCCCCTGCCCCCAGGTGTTCTCACCAGCATCCCCCTCCCACAGAAACTCAGTGTACCTAAAGGGCTCACCGTGTCCAATGCCTCGGCCCGAGGCTGGCTCATCCACCCGCTGGGCTTATATAAGCCATTTCCCATCTGGATGATGTTTGCCTCCGCCCTGCCTGCCCTGTTGGTCTTCATCCTCATCTTCCTCGAGTCCCAGATCACCACGTAAGAGCCAGGGTGGGACTGGGCCTGGGAGGGTCCGAGGCAGAGAAAGGGACAGGCTCCAGGCAGGCAGGACACCAGGGACTGAATGCTAGTAGGAAGGATGGACGGGCAGGAGGTCCAGGTTTTGTGGGACATGACGTGGTACTATTTAGGGAGCCCTTTTTAATAAAAAGAGTATAAAATGAGAACTATAAAATTAGGTGCTAGATCTTGGAAAGGGCCTGTGCCCGTGAGGTTCCCTGAAGCTTATGCTTCTTTAGTTTCAGTGTAGATCTGCCGGTGGGTTTTCTAGGTGATGATGAAGACACTTCTGCTCTTAGAGTCTCGATTCTCAAGATGGTGCAGGAGGGAGGGGAGAAAGGAACTCTAAGGGAGACGGGCAAAGAAGGATAAACTAAAGTACAGAGGGACCCAAGTCTAGGGGAGGAAAGAGAGGGTAAAGGGGGTTGGGGTGAAGGAGAGCCCTGATTACTCCTGACCTTCCACACCCCCAGGCTGATCATCAGCACACCAGAGCGCAAGGTGGTCAAGGGCTCTGGCTTCCACCTGGACCTGCTGCTGGTCATGGGCATGGGCGGGGTGGCCACCCTCTTTGGGATGCCCTGGCTCAGTGCCACCACTGTGCGTTCTGTCACCCACGCCAATGCCCTTACGGTCATGAGCAAGGCCAGCACCCCAGGGGCTGCAGCCCTGATTCAGGAAGTCAAGGAACAGCGGATCAGCGGGCTCCTGGTCTCTGTGCTCGTGGGTGAGTGAGGATTGGCCACACTTTCCAGCACCCTCAGCCCCTGCCCCTTAGGATCCAGTGCCCCTCCAGCCCTGCCCACCCTGCAGCCAGGTCTCCCCAAACACCCACTGCCCACATCTCCCCAGTGTCAGTTATTCACATGAAGGAATTCTGGAGGAAATACCCCAGGCACTGAAATGGGATCTGAGGGGGATGGGGGGGGCACTCCATTACTGGAAGCTTCTCTAGACAAGACCCTGTACTCTGAGCTTCTCCAACAGTTCAGTGAACTGTGGGCTCCAGCCCTGCCCCGCTGCTGACTAGGTATCCCACCTTGTCTCTGGACCTCAAGTTTCCCTCTCTGCACCATTAGAGGGTTCATTAGATGCCTGAGCTCTCTCTAGCTCAGCTGCTCTGTGACTCATACAAAGGGCAGTGCTCCTAGGTGGGGGTGTGAGGTGAAGACAGAGGGTCACTGATCTGAGTTCCAGAGCAGCTGAGAGTCCAGTTGGGCTTGGTGTGGGCAGCGCCATGGTCGCTGATGGAGAGGCCAGGGAAGTTTCCTAAAGGAGGCGAAGCTGATGCTAGCTGGAGGAGGGCTGGGATTTGGGTAGGTGGAGGGTGATGGAGGCATTCTGGACCGGGGTAAGAGGAAAGGTGGGCTTCTCTGCCCTCTGTGACTCCCTAGGTTAAAGGAGTAGGCTTTGAAGTCAGGCAGGCAAGAGTCTGACTCCCTGCTCTGCCACTTACTAGCTGTGTGGCCTTAGGTTAGTTGCTTCACCTCTCTGAGACTGCTTCCTCATCTGCAAAGTGGGGGTAATATCTATTAAGAGGATCCAGGGAATTCCCTGGTGGTCCAGTGGTTAAGACTTGGTGCTTGCACTGCTGTGGGCCTGGGCTCCATCCCTGGTTGGGGAAATAAGATGCCAGAAGGTTCCCGGCGTGGCCAGAAAAAAAAAAAGAGGATCCACAAAAAGGGTTCCATATAGTCCCTGTGACATCATTCCCCAGCCTCTGCTTGTGCCGATCCTCTGGGGCAGCTGGGGCTAAGACTGCGTGGTTCTCCCCACAGGCCTGTCCATCCTCATGGGGCCCATCCTGTCCCACATCCCCTTGGCTGTGCTGTTCGGCATCTTCCTCTACATGGGGGTCACGTCCCTCAGTGGCATCCAGCTTTTTGACCGCATCTTGCTTCTGTTCAAGCCACGCAAGTACCACCCGGATGTGCCCTACGCCAAGCGGGTACGGGGCCCTCCCGGCTGCCCAGGTCAGGGGCGGGGGGCTGGTGGAGGGCTGGGTGCCTGGGCAGGGTAGGCCATGACCCCAGCCTCCGCCCGCAGGTGAGAACCTGGCGAATGCACTTGTTCACGGGCACTCAGCTCATCTGCCTGGTAGTGCTGTGGGTGGTGAGAAGCATCAAAGCCATCTCGCTGGCCCTGCCATTCATCCTCATCCTCACGGTGCCCCTACGCCGCTTCCTGCTGCCACTCATCTTCCAGAACCTGGAGCTCCAGTGTGTGAGTTGCTTCTCCCACCACCCAGCCCGCGCCCCTCCCCGCCCATCTCCTATGGCCAGAGGGCACAACTCCAGAGCCGAGGGCAGCAAGGGGTCATCAGTGGGGCTCAGCGAATGTGAGAGGTGTGTCTGGGAACTAAGGAAGGCAGAAGAGCATCGTGATTAAGGTCTAGGTTGGGGCCTGCGTCCAAATCCCGGCACTGCCACATCCCAGTGTGTGACCTGGAGCTAGCGGCCTCGTTTCTCTGTGTCTCAGGTTTCCTCACCTGTAAAGAGAGGAATAATGACAGGGTTGGTGAGAGGACTGAGAGGCTCACGAGATGCGTTCCACGTGGGTGGTCCCCACCACTGAGCGGCTAGTCCTGTGGTCTTATAAACCATCCGGAGAGTGGCTCTTCCAGTAGAATTCTTCCACAATGTGACACAGGTCACTGTGGCGCTGCCCCGGTGAAGGGACCTCCTGCCTGCCCTCTGCGGGCCCTCCCCTACCAGGGCACCAGATTCCTGGAGGCTCCCCACCCTGAGGAAACCTCTCATCTAGACCAACCCTAGGAGATGCAGGGACTTGTCCAAGGTTCAAAGAGAGACAGGCTCTCCTGACCCCAGAGGTGCCTCAGCGCTGGGGGGAGGGCTCACCTGGGCCCTCAGCCACTCACCCTATGTCCTTCCTGCCCCACCCCCCAGCTGGATGCTGACAATGCCAAGCCGAACTTCGATGAGGAGAATGGTCAGGATGAATATGATGAGGTGGCCATGCCTGTGTGAGGGGAGGGCCCAGGCCCCAGAGCCCCCTCCATCATTCCACTTCCCCACTCTTCCAGGAAAAGCAGAAGTTCACGGGCACCCTATGGACTCCCAGGTCCCTCCTGGGGCAGCAGTCGAGGCCCTGAGGCCACGGGTGGGGGAAGGAAAGGGTGTCTAGGAAAACTTGTATGAAGGGTAGACTGGCTTTTCTGGATAGAAAAGGCCAGTGGGGCCCACAGTAGGGGGATTCGCTGTGCAGTCCCTCCTGTGGCCACACTGCCACCTGGGGGTCCCACCCTGGAAGACTTAGATTCAAGCCCTACCTCCTCATGACACAGACATGGGAAGTAAAGAGGATGGGAGTTGGGTGGGTGGGGATTCAAATTCCTGCTTTCTGTGTGACCTTGGGCAAGTCCCTGGATCTCTCCAGCCTCTGCTTCCTCGTCTGTAAAATGGGTGTATTCATAATCACACCCACATTACAGGATGGTTTCCGAGGAAATGTGAAAAAAGGGCTTCGTAAAATCTGAAAGGACTATTATACAGTAGTCATCATTCTTCAAGCCTGCCCAAAGTCACATAGCTCCTGAGCCATACAGCTGGGATTTGACCTCTGAGGCCAGAGTCTACTTCAGTCACCCACCTTTCCATGCTTAGAGATGCCCCTGCTGGCCCCTCTCTTCCCCCTCTCTGCTCCCACTGGGGACCCTCTTCTCTGGGGCGGAGGAAGGTGTCCTGGTGAGGGCAAGGTGTAGGTGAGGACAAAATCAGGGCTGGGACTCAGGACTCCTAAGTGCTGCTCCCTCCCCCACACTCTCATTCATTCACTCATCCATTCATTCCACAAACATGTATCTAAGGCCCTGGGCCCCATGGACACAGAGGTGACTGAGACAAGACCTTGCCTTGGGGCTGGGAGTGGGGGGCAGTGTACAGTCTGTTCTTGATTTGGATGGGGGTTGGGGGAGGGTGGGAAGATAGGGAGGAGATGGGGAGGGGGAGGGAGGGAGGTTTGTAATTTATACCTTGTGTATCCTCAGAGCTTTCATTGTATTTCAGCTACACGCAGGCACACTCGCGCGTGCGAGCCCCAGTTAGAGACACACCGTCCTCAGCTCCACTTGAACCAAATCTTGGGGAGAACCCAGATTCAACCAATTGGGGTAGGAGACAGTGGGAGCTGCAGAATATGGGCAAAATCTATTTTTTTACAAAAGAAAAATATAAAAAGAGTTAAAAGAACTGGAAGTGGTGAGAGATGGTTGGAACTGAGAATCAGGGTGTGACAGAAAAAAAGGAGGCTGAGAGAGGGCTCTCAGGTACCTCCTGAAGGCTCACAGCTGCTTCCCACCACTTCACTGTTCTATGCCTCAGTTTCCTCATCTGTAAAATGGGGACGATAATGGTACCTACTTCGTAGGTTTGTTATAAGGATTAAAGGAGACATTGCCTATAAAGTGATTGCTTAGCACAGCGGCTGGCCTCAGACCCCTTCAGAAGAGTTCAATAAAGTTAGCTGCTGGTATTGTTATTCTGACTGGGATGCCCCTGCCCCTTCCTACCCTCTGCTCCTTGAACACTGCCAAGTGGAAAAAGTCACTCACCCTGCTAGCACCCTTCCGCTTGATGCTTGGGAATAGGTTTTACTAATAAATGCATCTGTGGTGGAGTAAGTGCCATGCTGGAATTCCCTTCCCAGGGTCGGGGGGTCCAAGGGGTCTGGGCTGGACCAGGTGGAGAAGGAATGTATGGTGTGGAGCTAGCACAGGGCTGTGGCCCTAGGGGGCAGGAAGGGCCAGGCTGGGGGAGGGAAGTGGCACTAGAGCTGGGGGAGAGGCAGGGCTGGTGGCCCAGAGCCCTAGGGTGGAGAGGGCCAGCACCCAGTGAGGGGGTGGGAGAGCAAAGGGAAGACAAGTTTATGCCCCGGACATCCCTCCCCTCCCACATAAGCAAGACCCATGGAGGTGGGGAGAGGGGCGCCCCCTGCCCCTTGCACAGTGAACCCCACATCCCTTAGGACAAGTTAGCCCCTTAGCCTGGACACGGCAGGCTGCGCAGCACCGCTAACAGAAATTGTCAGAGAGAAAATGCGATTTGCCATCAGTCACCCAGGAACAGCATCTCTTGACCAGCTTTCCACCAGCCCCCACTGTGATGCCCTTGGAGGCCCTGCCCCCCACTCCCACTCCCAGCCACTTCCAGCAACTCTAGGGGACTGCTGGGCCAGGTGTCACCCACCCCTGGTGAGGAAGGTGTCAGGACGTCATCCCTCACCACCCCAACCTTCCAAAGAGAGGTCAGTGCAGGGTTGGGCCGCCTGGCTTCCTTCCCTGGATCTATATTTACATGCTGCCTATCCCCAGCTGACCCCTCCCAGGCTGGCCAGGGCGGCCGCCAAAGGGCCAGAGAGCTACTGTGGCCCCAGGATAGTAGTCTCAGCCACTCACCTCCCACACACAGCAGCTTCATGTCCCACAGAGTTGTCCCAGTCCCCAGGGCCTGACAGAGGGACACCCTAAGTCAGCAGGGAAGGCATTAAGGAATTGTGAAGACTACAAAAAAATCAATCGGGATCCAGCTTCCTGCCTGGCCCGAGACCTTACTCTCCCGACATTTCCTGCCCCCTCTCCTCGCAGATGCCCTGCCCCCCACGTCCACATTTCCTCTCAGGAAAACTACCTCGACGTGAATTAACTGCCATAATGAGGTACACCCTGTTGTGTGAACACAAAGTAACCTAACCCTAACCCACTCCTGGTAAGGGAATAATTCAACAGAATTGAAAATCTCTATACCTGAAACTATTCTTTGCAGGACTGTCTATGAAAGCAAAAAGCTAGAAAGAGTCCAAATACTCAGCAATAGGAGAGCTGTTAGTAAATTACAGTGAATTACCCGACATCAATATAATGGACCATTAGGCAGGCCCTAAAAATAACGATGATGATGAAGTGATCGGATCAGCTTGGTGCAATCACGTGATCCGGGGCATCTGAGGCCGAGATATTTGAAATTCCAGCTAAGAACCACATTCCTGAGCTCAGTTTTCTGCATCTGTAAAATGGAGATCAGGACACGGTACTTACCTCATAATGTTACTGAGAGGATGAATTGTGATCACACACCAGTGGGTCCTAGCCCAGTGCTGGCACTGAGTAAGCAAAAGTGCATTCCTAGGATTTCCCTCGTGGCGCAGTGGTTAAGAATCCGCCTGCCAATGCAGGGGACACGGGTTCGGGCCCTGGTCCAGGAAAGATCCCACATGCCGCAGAGCAACTAAGCCCGTGCGCCACAACTACTGAGCCTGTGTGTCACAACTACTAAAGCCTGCACGCCTAGAGCCCGTGCTCCGCAACAAGAGAAGCCACCGCAATGAGAAGCCTAGGCACCACAGTGAAGAGTAGCCCCTGCTTGCCGCAACTAGAAAAAGAAAGCCTTTGCGCAGCAACGAGACCCAACACAGCCCCCCCAAAAATTTTAAAATTAATTAAAAAAGAAAAAAGTGCATTCCTATTCCTAAGGGAAGCATGCAGTGATGTGACCGTCATGGTGACAGCCTTGTGGAAAAGTACAGTGGGCACAGGAATGAAGGTTAGAGGCTTAGATGGAAAAAATTAAAATGCCACGGTGGTAGAGGTATAGGGGATATCAATTTCTTTCCTCCTTCTTTTGGACTTTAGGTGCAAAGGGTTAAGTTAATCACCCTCCTGAGTCCAGAGTGGATTTTCGTTGATCGTTCTTATTTCCTTCCTTCTGTCCTTCCTTCCCCTTTGTCCTCATTTTCTATTCCCTCCTATTTTCTTTCCCCTCTATAGGCGGTCACTCTCACATGTTTAATGTGTAGCTTTTTGTGTGAACATGGTCTTAAAAATATGTATCATTGATATTGTTTTGTTTTATTATGAATTTTAATACATACACAAAAGTAGACAGTAGTACAACAAACCACCATATACTCATCTCCCAGATGCAGAAATTATCAAGATTTTGCCTTAAAATCTTGCTTAAATCTTTGCCTAAAATACATTTCTCTTTCTTCCCTCTGCTGAACTAAATACTTGAAAGTAGATTTCATATGTCATGCCATTTCACCCTTATACCTTTCAGCTATGCGTCCCCCCCCAGCACTGATCATTTTTGAACCCAACTGCAGTGCCATTGTCATACCCAACAAAATTATCAAAAAAAAATACCTAACATTCAATCCATAACCAGATTTCTCAGAATGTCTCTTTTTGGTTGGTTTCAGGGGGTATGTGTGTGTTGGGCTGTACCCCACAGGCCTACAAGCCCTGTGCTTGCCCAGCTTCGAGACCGAAGAAAGAGCCCAGGGTCGGCAATAGACACATCAATGGTTTAATGGATGGGGGAGCTTACATGTGTGAAGCAAGGTCCTGGAGTGACACCTCACCATGCACGGCAGACAGGACGTGGTGGCAGTCTTGGCTCCCTAAGGGAACGGGAGACTGCCACATATAGGGGGAACTGACATCAGGTTGGCTCATTAGTTACCAGGGAAAGCAGCAGAGAGGCATGCCCCTCACCACCCCTTTGATAGGCTATCACTAGCTGGGCCTGGGGCAAGTACATAGGAAGGTCAGTCATGTGCGTAGGGTATAGGTGAAGCAGGCACTGGTCAGGCAGGGGATGTACACAGAGCAAGAGAACAGCCATCTCGAATGGCCTGACCAGACAGTGTGTGTGTATTTCTATACATTACCAGCACTGTGTTCTAGGCCTTGCTCTGTTCGTCCTCTTTGCACCCAGCACTGTGGCTTCAAGATCCAGCCAGGTTGCCCTGAGTTGGATCCAGCCAGGAACACTGAGTTGCTTTATTAATTGCTGTGGGGTGCTCCATGGGGGCATTCCCCACCTTTGGCCTCTTCACTCTCCCAGGGAGGGACATCTGACTGCACCCAACTCCCCTCCAGTAAGCAATGCTGCAATGCACATCCTCAGCCTTGTCCTCTTACGGATCTAGTGAGAATCTCTCTGAGTTATAAATGTAGAAGCCAGGAGTG